AGAAGGGGAGGTTGGCCGAGGATAGATCCCCACGAAAAATAGGGATTTTGTCGTGCATGAGACTTACAGGGGTTCTGACAAGGCCATATTGGCATTTATTAAGATAACTCTGGGTATAGCATAATGGTTGGGGAGACCAGGGCATGGACAGGAGTGAAGGGCTTGCCTGAGCCCAGGGGGCCAGACGCTACCAGAGGACGCAGTACAGAGGGCAGCATGCCGGGAGCTTGGCAGAGGCCAGCAATGAGGAATAGGAGGTGGCGAGAGCCAGGTGGGTGAAAGCGGGGCGTCAAGGCAGTGGAGAGCACAAGGGACAGGGGCTAACCTTCCGGAGAAAAGGACTGGCGAGATGTGGGATACCCCAGCACCAGCTCGGTGGAGAACCAGACAGCAAACCAAGGAAAGGAAGTCAGAACTTCCTCATATGGACTGAACTCTAGAACACGAATTTGGAAGACATTGGGACTTGGTGCCTCTGTAGATGTTTGAGGTGTAGATGTTTGAGCTTTCTACCATAAGCACCAGGCTTATGGTAGAAAGACTATCCCTGCAGTCTTGACCCCCTTCTCAAATTGTCCACCTTCAGGTGCGGTTCCCCATTCCCCTAATTTTCTATATTTTACTACGCACACCTCACCTAATTCCATCAAAGGAGCACCCTCTCCCTCCTTCTCTCCACCCCCACACACTTAAACTGACTTTCTCCTTCCCCTTTACTGCCAACTCTTACATAGATTTCATAGCAAACAACCTTTTTTCCATTCCCTTCCCCATCTTTGTTACACATATATTCCACACAGTAGTCTCACCGCTCTTTCCTGGAAAGAGGCTGCTGTGATACTTGTATCTCTGACGTCTGACATCTGTCTGCATCATGGAAGGCTGCAGCAGGTGGACATGAGTTTGGTAGGGTTACTAGAAATATTGTAGAAGCCACACACATGCACATGTGCACACATACACACACTTCTTGGTCTACTACCTTATCTTTTAAAACTAAACCTACATTTCTTCAAGCATCAGCATTTTAGATCAAACCTTTAAAAAAGATTTCTTGGTCAGTTTTATCACCTTATCATTTTTCTATTTGGTTTAACTTACCAGCATGGCAACTATACTGATGTTTGGCTTATTTTCTTAGAGTACATAGCACTTCAGCCATTCAGTTGCCGTGGGTTAAACCAACTTTGATAGGTTAGATCTAGAACATAATCACAATTTACGAAATATAGTCCTTTAGGAAAATGTAATCTGAGATCTGGAGCAATGTACTTCGAATAAGTATGTGGAAATTACCCACGCATAATTTGAAGTTTTCTGAATACAGAACAGATATAGATACATGCGAATATATCTAGATAGAACTCTAGATGTAAGATATAATTGTGTTAAAGCCGATGATAATGTTCCACAGCACAGAAAATTAACACGTTCATGAATTATCCATATGTTTAACATCAGTTGCAAAAATCTAATTATTAGTTGAAGAAAACCTTATGTCTCGCTCAAAAAAAAATTCTATGTGAACACTGTTTACTGAACTTAGACTCTTGGAATGAATGGCAAGAATCAAAGTCAAACAAGCTTGTGAATGCCAAACCTAATTTCATTTGCTGATGGCCACTTGTCAACAGTGGAGTATCTTTAAGCGAAACCAAATCCTACAAACAAAAATTAGAGGAAAGCATAATTAATCAATTTACAAACTTGTTTTTTCCTGCCACAGATTAATCTTGAGACATAAATATTACAAGCAAAAATTCAGAGAAATGTGCCCCAAAATATAGTCTGTTAAAGATTAGTGCCCTCTAAGATATTAACAGTTGTTCTATATTAAAAAAAAAAATTGGCCAAGTAGATTTGGGCATGCTGAGTTAATCACAGTCAAACAAGCTTCCTTTTTCTAGAACTTCTCAGAGGCTTTACTATGCTGACATGTGCTGTGAATTTCTAAGAAGAGGCATTATTTCTCAAACTTATTTGTGCTTCAGCAATCGGTAGCAGAGCTTTGTAACACACATAACAGGAGGCTAAGGCTCAGATGGAAAGACCTTGCAAATTGATAAAAGTCCTTGGTTGTTTCAAACCGCACCTCAGACCTGAGACCAGTGTCCGGGTGCCCACGAGTGATTCGCCAGAGCTATGTTATAACATGCAAGGTCTGAGAAACAAGGCACAGCAAGCAGTCACTATATCCACATCTTTCAAAACTATTTAAGGGCAAGGAGAAAAAAATTAAGAAAACCTCCCCAGAGCTGTCATTCTTAAAAAGCACTGTGTTCTGGGAATGGGGGGTAGGAGTGGCAGTGGGGCACAGAGGAGTCTCTACAGCCCCGAATGTGACCTAAGGGGGCTGGAGCAGCAAACATGAATACTCTTGTGTTCATGGACACCTTGCAGGGATGGGTCAAGCTAGGCCGATTGTGGAAATCTCCTTAGACCTTCACTGTGAACTGCAACAGGGATCGGTCCTTTTCTCTGAAAGCTAGGGCGTCATCGCTTCACAATGACGGCGCTTTACATTTTGAATCAATATTTAATTCATTTATGCTAACCCCAAAAGCTAAAGGTACTGTCAGAGTTGGCAAGGGGACTCTAAATTTATGTTTTAATTACTTGACCATTTCATCAAAAAGTAGACACGGTGTCTGTGGTTTAGGACTTTGAAATAAACCCTATATGAGGGGGGAAAAAATGCCAGGCACACAGAGGCTATTCATGCGCGTGTTTATGGTTCCTTTACCTGTGAAAAGGAGAGATTCTGTGAAGGTGTAGTAGGGAGAAAATTGACACAGATTTCTTGTTCATCAAACTAAGCCAGTGCATATTTTATTCGGCCGAACATGAAATTCGGGTGTGGCTCCTTGAATTTAGGTGGGGAGGGAGGTTTTTTTTCTTCTTTTCGTGCAAACGTTTCTGAATTGTTAAGTGAAAATACCACATGGGAAAGAAAGTTTACAGAGGAAATTTAGTAGGGATATTTTTTAAGCATGTAAACTCAAGTACTATGAATTAAACTTAAAAAGACACTACTTGTTGGAAAGGAAATCAAAAACTTGTTGCTAACGGTCACATACAACCAGAATAGTTTTTTAATGCTTTAAGTAGTGATTCAGTGAAACCAATGAGTTTATGCATATTCAACCGAAACCTTGACTTCTTAATACCAAAGCCGCCGGAAAACAGGAGTTAACCAAAGCTTTGGTTCTCCGCCGGGAAGCCCTTGGGTTGGTCAAAGCACAGGACACTTGGCCTGGTCTGAACTGCTCACACGCCCAGCCCAGAGCACAACCGCCCTGGGGACAGATGTTACAGGAAAGTGGAAGGTCATTAGCGGTTTCTTCCCCATTATTGTAGGCCCAAAGCCCATCCTTACGATGCACTCTGCTCTAAGAGGGCTAGAAAACCAGTATCTTTCATAGTAATGACTTCCAGTTTACAGCCTTCATTTGTTATATTTCCTCAATAGCTGTTGTGTTGAGATTAACTGCATAAATGGTCTGCAGCTGTCTGTTATGAATTAAGGGAGTTTAATCAAAGTATTTCTAATGTACAGCATAATGATAATACATGGGGGAAGTACTATTTAAGAGATAATGATGGCTTCAGAAGATCACTGTTGTAATGTTTAGTGCATATGCCTTCAGCATTGAATTTGTTGTTGTTCTGAATATGCTTAATGGATCACTGAAAAGCTGCCTAATGCGGGATTGTTTGATGGGGCTGACAGAGCTGGAATTAGCCCATTGCTGTTTACTGCATACAGCCATTAAGATTAATTGCTGCCAGATAATTTTGACTGTTTTTATCTTCTGGAAAAAGTGTCACTAATGGGTTTATAAATTGGTTCACTATTACTAATAGTAAGGCCAGTGTAACACAATAGAATGTCAGCTAATTCTAAAGATAAAGGTAAAAAAGTATAAAGTACTATATGGCTTGCTAGTTTTAAGGGATACTGTTATCTAATAACAGACAGACTGATATATGATGCTCATTAATGCTATTTCCTGAGCTTTGGGTTGAACCTAATAGATGCTAATAAAGTCTTATTTGATGTCCCATTAAAAAGCTCAATCTGTTTTCTGCATTAATGCCCAGTGTTGTTTATCACGTCTCTGATGACTAAAACCCAAATTCCAATCTGTTCCATTACCAAGCTTTTTCTGAGTATCTTTATATCTATTTTGGTTTTTCTATATATGAAATTTATATAACCAAACCAGAGAAGAATTAACAAAGTACCTGAGTTTATAATCATGATATATGGTGTGTAAGTTACCTGTGAAGTTTACAATTCAGGCATTTTTATATAACATCTAGGCAAACTTCTAAAAACAGTGCATTGCCTTTCTAACCATTGTTTAGGATTGTCTGCAATTGAATACAATTTCTAACATATAGGTCATTTAGCTTAGTGGTGATAAAAACACTTTGCATACTTAAATCTTAACAGATGATAGGATTTAAAATGCTAAGCATATTTTCCTAAAGGAAGGTAAATGGATATAATTATTTTTAAGTAATATGATTCTGGTTTATTATCCATGGAGCCATAGCCTTTAAAAGGACCTAGCCAACCCAGCTTCTTACATTGGTTTATCGAAGTTGTTTAATGTATCAAGAATGTGTTTTGTCAGTTTACCACAATTTATAATAAAATTCTTTATGCATTGAGTTTCAAATGTATTCTTTACTTCTGAGAGTGCTAAAAATAAATGGAAAAAATATGAACCAGACAGATAGACAGACAGTGAATATTTAACCACGTAGAAGAAACCAATAATTCATGAGTAGTGAAGCTGTTCTTTCCTCAAGAATGGATACCATAAATTATGAAATGTTTCTTTTATGAAATCAAAAGCATGTTTATATCTTTTACTTAAAGTTCTTTTTATATTGTGCTTAAAACTTTTACATTTAAAAATACCTGAACTCTTGAAGTGTATATAAAGTAATATATGACACATTACTTTTTTCTCTTTTTTGCAGAGGTGGGTTGTGGTAGAAGAGAGAAGAAAACCCACATATTCCAAGTAATATTCTCTATGGAGTGAATACTAATGTTACTTTTAAGAAAGAGGTTTTTTTGTCTTTTACAATCTTGCTCTAAAGTGAAGCGAAATCAGATGCTGAATTGGACAATTTTTTTTTTCTCTTTCTTATTTTCAATACTGAATTAAGTTTAAATGTTTAACATAAAACAATAAGTGCAGTGCCTCAAAATAAGAAGCATGGGTGGTGACTGTGAGGCGTTGGTGTTCTTTGGAAGGAAAGTCTTTCTGTCCTCCTCTCTCAACTCTGCATGGAGGAGCAGGTGAGTGGCATCCCACCCCCCTCAGGTGGGCCCACGAGCCCTCGCTCAGAGTGTGGCATTGAAATGTGCCCAGGTTTGATAGATAGCACTTTAGAACACAAAGAGCTCCCTCATAAACTTTTAGCTGGGTCTGGTCATATATCCTAGCTATATATTAATATAAAGACATTTTTCCACTCAAGAAAACCCTGGTTTCACGATCTACCTTAGTTTGCCACTTCTGGATGGTCCATCCACCCCGCCCCACCCTCCCCCAAAATAGGATGGACTGCTGAGCTCCCTTACCCATTTGTGCTGTAGTCCTCTGAGTCAGTGAAGCATTGCAAGACGTCTCAGTGGTTACAGATTTGAAAAAAATAAATGTTCTTACCTCCCTGCATCTCCTGTCTCTTTCATAATGAAGAAAGTTTTGGTTTGGGCTACCTTTCAAATGCAACAATAATAACAACAACAACAAAAAAAAACCCAGCATAAACCTGAATATTTCTTTACCTCCTTAACCCTTTACCTCTGTTGGTTTGCAAAAATGGAAAACAACCCTGATGGTTCTCAGTTTTAAAAATCCAAGAGGAAACTGAATATATTTTAAGACTGTTTCTCTCCCAGTGCAATGTAAATGGTAGCCCATCATTTTAAATGGGAGGAGCAGAGTAAGTAGATGGCAAGAGCAAGAAAATGAATGGCACTCTGAAAGTATGTTCCTGGGGCTGGGAGGGGACACAAGGATGGGGGCTGCCCTGAATCTAATGATTGGGAAAATGCCGCTTTGATTCAGCCCCAAGCAAGTCCCAGAGCTTTAAACTCCTCCTTCAACTCGGTGACAAAGAGGAAAGTTGCACTAGCAGGTACTTTAGGACTCTCCACAATGTGGAGATTTAACAAGGATCCTGCAACTGTAGGCACACAATTACTGCCGCTGGGAAGGAGCTGTATTTGCAGATCCCCTTGACATCTGCTTCATTTCAATAATTTCCAGCCATTGAACCTCTGTCTGAATAAGCATTAGGAAACAGAGGCATGTTTGGTTACTAATTTGAGCCTCTCTCTCTCTCTCTCTCTTTCCAATCTCCCTCCAATTGGAATTTTATGCTTCTGAAAGGGTTCACTTGATGATTTTGATGTCTGCAGCTTTCCATCCATATGACCGGACACACTCTCACCATCTCCACATATCAAAATGAGAAGGAAAAACCTGGTATGTGTGTCTACCTGTCCCTCCTGTTAACTGTGAATGCCGTCTGCGTGATGTAGACGTTTCTCTATGAAGAGCCAAGCTGGGACTACAGCTTCATTTCATACGAGGCTGTGCAGAGGTCGTCTAAAGTCTCTCCCAGGTGAGGCAATGTCCTGCAGTTATTACGAACCTGGATTTGAAACTGTGACCCTACCGGTTTGCCAGATGCCAAGAACGAATGCTCTGAAATTGATTTGCCACAAGACATCATGAGCAGCTCTGACTTCCTTGGGAGGAGGGGAATATTTCACCTGTGGGTGAGACCCCTCTCCCTGCCTATCAGCGTTGCCACTGCTCTGATAGGGAAAGGTCTCGGGAGCAGAGTTGGTAGGAGTGAATCCAATCTATCTGCCACCCTGGACTCTCCGCACCTGCTTGTTCGGGGCCACACTTCCACCCACTCTGTCCTTGGCCTCACAGTCGGCCTATTGTCAGTCATTGTGGTTGGTCCATTCAGAAGAATCTTGAATATTCATAGCCACCCTAATTTACTAATATATATTCACTAATGTTGGAGATCTGTACATGTGATTCCCGAGCTTATTACAGTAACAAGTTTCTCCAGCGCTACTGGGCATATTCTTCATGTCTCTCTTTCCAGACTACTGACTCAATTTGAGATTACATCCTCTGCTCCTTTGCGTGCATTGCATTTGCCCTGTAAAACTCATTCCCTTCACATTGTAAGACATCTAAAGACACAGGGGGCATTCCAAGACTGGGCGTGAGATGTGTTTGATGCCGTTTCTTTAACATGCTTCACTCTTGCTTTGATCTGTGAAACTCCCTAGCATTCTGTCATGGTTACTGGGGTTCAGGGAGAGAGTGCTGGAACTCGCTTAAGTATTAACTGCCTTGTGCAGGATAATTTTTCTCTGTACCGCATTCAGGCTCTGGTGTACGATATGTAGTACCTCTCACTGCATCACTGAAAAAGAAATAGTAAATTAAGTAGGTTTTAAAATTACCCATTGAACTCACATCATTAAACAATTCTATAAGAAATTCACAAGCAGAGACAAATAGGAGGATTAAAATGCTATAAATTATGCTGGGATGGGATGGGGGTGTCATACATTTATTTTGCCCTTTGTTCTGGCCACAAAGCACCCACAGCCAGGATGGTTCTGCCTACTGCTTAACAATAAGTACCTGGAAAAAAGCATGACCCCTGAGTGCCCCCAAAAGGGGGATTATTGTAACAGCATTTAGCTCATCTCTAGGAACTGGTTAAGAACACCTTTGCATCATTTCAGTTATACTTGTCCCCTTCAAGGCATTAAAGTCTGTTTCTTTCCCTCTTACCTACTCCTTCCTGGCACTTTCCCTCTTCAATTCCTTTCTTATCCAGCAGCAAGGGAGTGGGAAAGGAACAGTGCTCATTTTGCACATAAGGGCATTTGTCTCTATTGTTCACCTCCCAGGTGTAGAATTTTCTAGCTACACCTGGTCACTGGCATTTTTCTCTACCACTATTCATGGCCATCCCATCCTATCTCTTCAGCAGGTGTTTGTCTGAATATTATCATTTTCTCTGTTTCTACCTGGTCTCTAAACTTCATGAAAACAAGGACAGTTCTATTTCAAACCACTGTATTTCAGTACATAAAGCAGTGTCTGGCCCATAAATGCTGTGTAACAAATCACTCCATAATATAGTGGTTTAAAACAATAACAATCACCTTATTATCTCTCAAAGTTCCTATAGGTTAGGATTAAGGGAAGGACAAATGGTTACCCATAGCCCCAGTAATTCTGCCTCAAGGTCTCTCATGCAGTTGCTAGAAACATAACAGCTAAGGATTTTCTGTGCATATTTCTCTCTTGCATAGTCTCAGGGCCTCTCAATGTTATCTCTCATCATCTGACCATTGGGCTTCCTTACAGCATGGCTGCCTGAGGACAGGAGAGCTACTTACGTAACTGAAGAAGTCCTTGAAACCGAGTATTTCAGCAGCAAGGAAGCTACAAAGCCTTTTCTGATCTCAGTTTGGGAAGCACACAATATCACTTCTACTGCAATCTTTTAGTTACAAATGAGTCACAAGCCTACCAAGATACAAAGAAAGGGAAATTAGGCTTTGCTTCCTGATGGGAGCGTGGCCAGATTCTAGAAAAGTATGGAGTACTGGAGATATTGTTGTGGCTTTGTTTGGAAAATACAATGAGAGTGTACAGTGTTGTTAAACAAGAAAACAAATGCCTTCTAAATGATTTTCACATCTCTACTACTGGAGATTTTCTTTGACTCAATTTTCAAATAATTGTATTTTCACTCCTGTATTTCAAGAATCTCCAGATGAAACTGCATTCTGTCTTATTTATGAATGTTGTGTATTCTACCAATTCAGCTCTTTTATAGGCTATCTTCACAAAATAGTGGCTCTTGGATTTTTCTTCTGACCATGTGCTTTCTCCCCCTGACTTATCTGTATTAGTCTTTTTAGCTTAAATTTCTGTAGTTTGTCTTAAGGATAAGTCTAGAAAACGCAATACACTCCCCTCTTCTCAGTATTCATATCCCATCCCATCCCCACCCTAATGAAAATCATTTCCTTTAATATTTTATAAATTTCCTCTTTGTTCATAATTTTCAGATTCTGTTTTCATGCTGGACCTCTCCCAAGGCATCCAATTTGATATCTCTATTTATGCCTCTATAAACTAACTAGACTTAATAATTCCAATTTAGCATGACTGTGCTAAACTATTTTCTTCATAAATTTCTCTTCTTTATCCACACCTATGTTCATAGCAGTGTTACTAGACACAGCCAAAGGTGGAAGCAACCCAAGTATCTATCAATGAATGAATTCATAGACAACATATGGTATATCCATACAATGGAATATTATTCAGCTTAAAAAAAGAAGGAAATTCACATTCTTCAACCTGGCTGAATCTTGAGGACATCATGCTAAGCAAAATTTTCCAGTTACAAAAGGAAAAATATTGCATGATTTCACTTAGATTAAGCACCTAGAATAGTCAAATTCATAGAGACAGAAAGTATAATGGTGGTTGGCAGGGGCTGGGAGAAGGGAGGAATGTGGAGTTATTGTTTAATGGGAGCATAGTTTCAGTTTTGCAAGATGAAAATTTTGTGAAAATGAACGATGGTGATGGTTGTATAGCGATATAAATGTACTTAACACTAGTGAACTGTATACTTAAAAATGGTTAAGATGTAAATTTTATGTTACATGTAATCTACCACAATTTTAAAATTTTTAGAAAAATTGTTCAATTCCTTTAAGTTTTCCTGGCCCAGATTTATAAACCAAATTCAATTCTATAGAAGAATTCAGCCTATAAGTAGGAAACTTATTAGTTTAATAATTGGCATTGCTCAGTTTTAAGATAAAGAATCATAGAGGGTTTCAACTTTACTAAGTAGAAAATAACTTTATTAAATCGATTTTAATCAACCCCCTCCCCCCAGTTTACCGTGTACACACAGGCAAACACACATGTGCACACACATATACACCCCTTTCACAAAGGAAGAGATATTTCATTAGGGAGGGTCTCTGATCTCTGATTCATTTATATGCATGGCTGATTTTTTTTTTCTTTTTTCTTTTTTTTTTTCTTTTTTTTTAGAGATGAGGTCTTGCTCTGTCGCCCAGACTGGAGTCCAATGGCGTGATCATAGCTCACTGCAACCTCAAACTCCCGAGCTCAGGTGATCCTCCCACCTCAGCCTCCCAAGGAGCTGGGACTACAGGTACTCAACACCATGCCCAGCCCTGGCTGATTTTTAATAAGTATTTTACACATCTTATCCCATCAAATCTTCACATTAACCTTATAAGGAAGGTACTATTATGATCCCATTTTAAATATGAAAATGTGAGACTCACAGTAACAGAGTTACTTAACACAGAGAGATTAAAGTTAGAGGTGGGATTTTAACCCAGATATCCAACCCCCAGAACTCTTCCTTCTCACCATCTGTTCAGCTGTCATCTGCTAACTATAAGATGTTCCACATGGAATTGTGGAATTTGCTCTGAGATTGGACTTAGGACACCAGGCCCCCAGACTGGGCTCTGTCCCAAGTGGCTAAATCACTTTTCACTAGTCATTTAATGCTCAGTAAACCTCCATTTTTCTATCTATAAAATGTGAAAATAATATCTTCTTTATCTACCTTAAAGCCCATTTTGAAAACAAAAATCAAAATTAAATAATGTAAATACTCTATGTGAAAGTGCTTTGTAGTCTATGAAGCATATAAATGTGATGCATTATTATAATCACAAGGTAAACAACAGGTTACAAAATAGATGAAATGGCTCTGCAGGCAGAGAGAATAATACAGCAAAGAAGATGCCAGAAGTAAGAGTCAGGGTTGTGTTGCTATTGATGGTCGGTTTAGTGAGAGTTACAAGAGAGGACTATGTGTGTATAAGTCTAATACTCCAGGCCAATGCATTTCAGAGAAATGCCCCCAAGCTCTCCCCTCACAAGGGAGAATATGAAATTGTAGTGCTGCTTAGAAGAAACAAATTCAGGTTATCATATATATATATATATATATATAGACACATATACATATATATACATTTCAGACCATTTTATAAGCATCTGCATTTGCAAGCTCACTATGTCTTTTTAATAGCAAGGAGGGAGAGGAAGAAAGGAAAAAGGGAAAGAAACAAATTGGTTTACATGAATGAAGATAGCAGTTTCCTTAGCAGTGGATCAATTAATGAATGTTGTCAGAAAATATTTCTATTAAATAGATGGACTCTGCTTGCACAATGGCTGATATTTAGCAACTGGTTTCTGAAATAGACAATTGTCAAATTTTAGTAGGTTCATGCAGAAGCTGAGGTAAGAACGTGGATGCAAACTGTTTACTCACGGGTAATCTAGGAAGAACTGGCAGGAAGGATTATGGGGAAGTGAAGCCTAATACAGGGTGGATGTCAGAGCAAGAGAAAGACTTAGGATCTGAGTGAAAATCTCCTGGGAACGTTGGTGAATCTATGTAGAATACACCACAGAGCTGTCCCTTTTGTCCCTCTGCTGTTGTTAAGATCTGGAGGGTCTCATACCACCCATTTTGTTCTCCGCTCTTCCAGTGCTTATGTAGCCAATCCCCTTTATTAAACATCCTCTATTTGAAATACCTAGAATAGGACCAACTCAAGCAGTAGCAGCCCCTCCTACACAGAGATGCTCACCCTGATACCATCACCCACTGAACCAATGACAGCATCAGTGGTCTCCCTCCAGGCACCACCTAATGTGAGAAAATTGTTTCCTTAATCGGCTTTATTCACATAATCTGCTATGATTGGGGATTTATTTTACCTGCAAAAAAACCATTAATCACCTCTTTCCATTTATTATTTAGTTAGTTATTTTTAGCATCATGCATAATAGACTGGCCTCATCCAGTGCATTCACTGGACAAGCATCTGCTCCCTAAAGCACCATGTACTGTCAATCCATCACCAAGCCTACCCAGAGAGATACACACAGTTAAGAGTTTATTTCTGCCTGCATTTCTTTTAGAAACAAACTGAGCTGCTCTGTTCCATGTAACACTACATGCTCTTGGACCTGGTGCATGTTCTTCTCAGGGTCAACCACTGGAGCGCAAGAACCAACCCAAGTCAAACAAGCACATTTAGGCTTATATCATGTTCACCAACATTCTACTGGTCAATGCAAGCCGATGTGTCCATGCTCAACATGGATGGGGTGGAGAGGAAAGAGAGCTCTGAAAAGTAATTCTCAAACTTTAATATGCATCAGATCCGTGCTAGAAGGCTTGCTAAACCAGACAGTGGGTGTCCCAGCACCAGAGTTTTGATTCAGTAGGTTTGGAGTGGGGCCCGATAATTTGCATTTCTAACAACCCCCCGGTGATGCTGACACTGTTGGTCCATGGACTACACTTTGAGACTCATTGATCTAAACTGTCACAGTAGGCATCCATGGAGACCATACCATGTCTAAGAGAAGCTGGAGGACAGAAGACTGTGAATTGCAAAAGAAAAGAAAAACAAAAATGATTAGTCTTATGAATAGTCTCTAAGAGAAAATACAAAAGGATCTTGATTTGATTAGCCCAATGCAGGGTAGAGAACTAATAATAGTCTTCAAGTATGCACTGGGATATACACAGCTATTTTTTCAGAGGACACTAATTGAGTTAAAATGCATCAGAGATATTCAAGTTAGCCAATGAGCAAGAACAGCCCATTTGCAAGGCTGTGGACATGGCAGATCCACTAAAGAGACTTAGAGCATCAGAATTAGATCATTTAAAGCATAAAGGTTTACCTTTATATCATTATATGACTTTTGTCTTACCCTGAAGCAAAATTGAATCATCTCTGAGGGTCACTTTTGGCCCTATAATTCTGTAAAATGGGATATGAGAATGGGAGAAAACACAGCAAGGAAGGAGACAGAGGAAGAGCCCCCAAGGAATGGTGCCTTCTTCCTTGGCCAGTGTATTTGAAGATAGCACCAATACATTTTTCACAAACACAAACATTTTCTAACTGTGCTGTCACCCCTAAAATATGATGACTCTTACCCAGCAGGGAGTCAATCTTTAGGGGGAGTTGGAAAAAGTGTAGGAATGCAAACCACAAGATCTGGCTCTGAGTCTAGATTCTGCCACATTTTCGTTGATTGGTTAATTATCTTAATCTTTCCGTTTCAGGATTCTTGTCCATAAGGTCGAAATAATAATGTGAACAACACTGGGACATTACAAGGATCCACCCAGCTAATAAAGAGGAAACAGCTTTGTAAACCATAGAGTGCTATTCAATTGCCTGCTTTCTAGTGGTCTGAGAAACAGTGGCTGGGGAAGGTCCGTTCACCCCAAGTGCTCGGTGTTCCAAAGAGGGCTTCCCAAGCCAGAACTTCAAGGCTCAGTGGGAGGATGGTTTGTATTTTGGACCTCAGATGATAAAAGTTCAATTCAGCTAATTTGATTCTCTGTTCAAGATATAATATGAAAATCAGTTGGTACAAGGCCCTTCTCTTGTCTAATTTCATGATTTTCCCTTTCACACCATTCCCAATCCCATCCTCCCCTCGCCCACCCCACAAACTTTGGAATATGTCCTTGGTACACATACATCTTTGAAACAGAGAGGGCATTTATTTACTTATGTGTATGAGATGCTGCACTTTGTATCTTGCTCTGTGTTTTACTCAAGACTACGCTTTGTTTTGTTTTCTGTCTATCCATTTAACATTATGTTCCTCTAGTGACCACTATACTGCTAATTCTTTTTTATTTAGATTCTTGACATAAGGTAATAAACTTTTTATTTTGCCTATTAAGGACATCAGACAAACAAATGCCTACCATCTACTTTTCCTATCATTTCATCAAAAAAAGGATATTTTAGCACCGAAAAACTGGACAAGGCTAGAGAATCTCAAGCTAAAGGATAGTTTTTTATGTTGAGTACATCGGGACCATCTAGATTGGTGGGAAACCTCATTCTTCTCATTTGTGGAACAGTGACACTTCCATCGTGGGCTGGAAATGGGAAAACACCAGAGGTCAGCAAAATTTTTCCATACTGTGCCACAGAGTGATTGTTTCAACTTTGTGAGTCCAGAGTTGGCCTCGTAAGCATGAGATTTGTGCAGTTGCACAAGGCCCCACACTTAGAAGTGCCCTTGCTTGCTTTAACAGTCTGCTGTTCCTGTTTTCAAATTCTTAATAATTCATGAACAGGAGGCCCTGAGTTTTCATTTTGCACCGGGTCTCACTTCTATGTAGGTCAGACGGCCTCTGTTATAACTGCTCACCTCCACGGAAGGAGCACAAACACAGCCACGGACAACAGGTAAGCAAATGAGATGCCTAAGTTCCATTAAGACTTTATTTACAGAAATAGACAGCAGGCTGGATTTGGCCTATGGGCCACAGTTTGCTGATCCTTGGCTTAGAGAACAGGCTGTGCAATAAGCAGTCTAGATTCAAATACTGATGGCAAGACCTATGGCTGTGTGACCCTCGGTCATTTACTTAAACTTCTCTGAATGTCACTTGTCCCTCTTTGTACATGTGGCATACTAACACAAGGCTACCTCACAGGGCTACTATCAGAATTAAATCAGACGATATATATATGAAGAACCTAGTACCTTCAGGTACTTGCTAGAACTATTCACATTTCCATTCTTATTATTTCCCTCCAGCATAGCCCTCTCCCTGGTCTGGAGCGAGGTTATTTACATATTCCAACCCTTTAGTCTCTCTGGGAACCTTCCAGAATATGGATCAGAGGAAGTCAGAAGTCTGTGTGGACTGTCTCTCTTTTACTTCCCTTTCTTTTTGGAAACTTTTTTGGATAGAATTAACAACAGCTTTCAATAAACCAGATGTGATCTCTCATACAGAGTCCTGGAGTTTTGGTGCTGAGTGCAAACTTTCATGAAATTTCCCCACTGCTGGCTGGTCAGAGGTATAACAGCTCACACATTCCACAGGTAATATCATTGCTTGTGCAACACACGCACATAGTCAACCTCAGGCATTCAGGTGTTCTAATGTTTGTCATGGTATCAACCTCCTCTTCTGTCCATCATTAGAAATAATGCAAGTGGCTTCTTATCCAGAGTAGGCTTTATGAGAAATACCTTCTTGGAATTTTTCCCCTTATATACTTTATTGATTTTAGGCCACAGGTCTTAGGCTTTGAGTCACAGAAACCTCTGGGAGTCTAAAAAAAAAAATTGTGAATATTCTCCAAAGGAAAAAAAAATGTGCTGTAGGCATGCACACACACACACGCACATACACACGCACACACACACACACACACACACACACACAGTTTTCCCTAAAATGTCAGGAGCTTAAAGATCCTCCCAGGACCCAGGCACAATCACTAAAGACCTATCAATGAAAACAGATTAAGAATTCCTACCTGAGAGAACCTGAAGGCCTTACCACTCGAGGTGTCAGAATCACAAGTTGTACCTGTGCCTGCTAGAGGACCCGACAAGGAAGAAGAAGTCCATTCTTAAAAGCGTGAATGAACTGAGGCGAATAGGCATCCTGAAGTCCTTTTAGGACCCAGGGATGACAAATGAAGGGCTTGCGGAAAAGCAGCAGTCAGCCATCCATTAGGATAGCAGTGCATTCCCTCGGCGGGCAGATCTATACGGATGGGTCTTCCGGTTACTTTCAGGGTAGTGAGTTTTGCTTCGGAAAACGTGATTGATGTGGCCGCGCCTCCGTGCACACATCATTAGTCTGTGGCGGGTAAGCTCAGATGGTCGGAGCGCGGTGCTAATGAGGCGGAGGTTAGGGGTTCAGTGCCCATGTGGGCCACTTAGCTTTTGTCTCGTTCGTGTCCCCAGACTATTTCCAACACAGGCCACCTGTCTTGAAAATGTCTATCTATAGTCGGAGGGAGGAGCCACGTGAAAGGGTTTGGCTAGATCACTACAAATCTATCTTGACTCTGGGAAATCAACCGCTCTGTGAGATCCGGGTGGTTGATGAGGGAACTCACCTTCCTTTAAAATGGACAGCAAGCATCATACTCAAGCCGCACGTCGTCTCGGTGGAGTGGATTTCGTGAACAACTTGTTAAACTGTCACTTAATTTTACATCCCTGGAAAATACACAAGCAAAGGAGATGATGTTAGACAAAACAGTGGTGAGGTGCCCTTCACTTTAGGCAAACTAAATGTAAATATTCATTTACATATAGGAGGGTGAGCATTAGCATTCAGGTTGCAGACAATTCATTTCACAACAACAACAACAACAAAAAAAATTCCACAAATGTTCTTGAATTATTTAATTGGCAAATATTTGGTTAAATGTTATCAAAATAATAGTTGAATTCAACAAAACTTTTCAGCCTCATATTTCTTTTATAGAGAAAAGTATACATTTGTATCTAAAAACTGTTCTTCCTCAAGTACTCCAATTTTGGGTAAAAATACTATGATCTGGCACCAACTAAGGATCAGGAAATGATCCATAGGTTCTCCTTGACCTACAGACTCTTTTCCTGGACTCAGAGGAAGCCAAGTAGTTTTGTTTTAACTCCTTTATGACTCTCATATCTGCCCCTCCCCCATTTTCATTAACACCTGGTTATTTCCTTACTGGACCAGTAAAGCATGCAGCTAATTTTTCATTCCTCCTTAACACTGAGGATAATTTCTGAGGATGAGCCTTGGAGTCTGACTGCCTGCATTAAAAACCCAGATCTACTATTTACTAGCTATGCAACGTTTAGCCTGTGCCTCAGTTTTTTTTTTTTCAAATATAACTTAAGGACAAAAATAATAACTGGTTCACAGGATTTTTGTGATGATGTACATTAGTTAAGTTATGAAATGTGTTCAGAAAATTGCCTGGGATATAATATGCATTTGCTTAATGTTAACTGCTATTATTATTAATTAATGAATCATCATCATCATCATTTCTATATCTCCAGCACAGACTCTGGAGGTATACTGTTCTAAAGCCTACTGTAAGAGTTCTTAATCAAGTTACCCTGGGCAAGTTACCTACCTTTTAAGTGGGTCTTCTCATCAGCAAAATGGTTTACTTGCATAGAGTTAATAACAGTGTCCATAGTAGACAGTTTGGTCAAGATTAAACTAGATATTGAAGTTAAAGTACTGAGGACAACAGAAGGGACATTTGAAATGCTTGATAAATGTGTACAAGTGCATAAAATCTGTGACATTAATAAAAACCAGCACCTGTGTCACTCCCTTGTTGAAAATCATGTAATATAAAACTACACTTTCAGAGATCTTTGCTATAGTTGGTTACTAGAGAAGTTTCTCTGTGCAGAGTTCTGGAAACCACAGGGAAGAGGTGCAGCCTTCTCTCCTGAGCAGGATGCCAGCTCTTGGTGTGTTTGGCTGCATCTGCCATTTGCCATTGCTGATCATTCTTCCTTTGGGAGAATAAAAGGGAGAGGACCCAGTCTGAGTGGTTTCCATTATAACTTTCAAAAACAAATTATGTCATAGTTCCTCATTAAATATGGCCATTGTTCCCAATTTTTTGGAAGCTAAGAAACCCTTTGTAACATAAATTTCAAGTAGCTCTAAGTACTCTAAATACCTATGTGAGACTTTAGCAACATGGCTGACCCAGCTAATGTAGAAAGGTCCCCTCTGGATATGAATGTATAATTATGTTGAAAAAGCTCTAATGCATAGGCAAATTCAAAACAACAGAAGGAATTCTCTAGGTCTAGAATCTCAGAGTTTATGAAAAGCTACAGCAGACCCTAGAACTGCTCACAGGAGTATCTTTCCCAGTATAAACCCAAGGGTTTGGGGCTAAGACTTTAACACTCACAGGAACGAGTGAGGTAAACCTCTCACCTGACTAGGCAGAGAGCTGGAATGAGCCATTTTATTAATAATAAAGCCAAGGCTGCTCAGCCCATAAAAAGAGGAATTAACACCATTCACCAGTCTAGGGAAATAGAAATGCAACTTTCCATCTACTGGCAGTTATAAGAGAAAAAAAATCTGATGCAAGAAATTAAAACCCCAAGTTGGCACCATGAGTGCATGTGAGCACCAAATTTGTTATTATCCATGTGCTATGGGAGTCCCAAAGTGAGAATCTAACATGAAAATATCACCTGTAAATATAAAATCCCAAGAAATCTAAAGAAAAAAGTAAAACTGTTTTGTAAGGACAATTATGCAACCTGGGGAATATATGACTCCCACACCCTAAAAAAAGAACCCACAAAGATAAATCACAACCAAAAAAAAAAAAGAAAGAAAGAAAGAAAAGAAAAAAGAAATGTGCAAAATCAGTCATTTTTAACAACAAACTTTTAAAATCATCTACAAACTAAAATTGAAGTCATTAATATGTTTTAAAATGTTGAATGGATTAAAGAGCAGAGTAGACATAGCTGACAAAAGATTTAATAAACTGGAAAGCAAATTCGAGAAAATCAAAGTGCAGCACAAATAAATAAAAAGGTAAAAACCAAAAAGACTTAAACAACAGAGATAATGCCCCATATTCATATAATTCCACCAAATAAATTCCACCAAATAAAAAGTTAAGAAAATATTTGAAAAAAAATAATTGGCAAGTTTCCAAAATTGAAGAAAACCAGGAGTCTTCAGATTAGAAAAGCAATCTAATTCCCAAGCCAGTAAAACTAAATTTGTGCCTGGACCCATCAGAATAAAATTAGAAAACATGAAAACAAAGAGAGTATCTTAAAAATGATTAAAAAGAAAAGACAGATTACCCACAAAGGAAACACAATGGTGCTTGACTGCAGGCATCTCATCATTTATAATAGAGGCCAGAAGAAAGTAGAATAACTTATCAACCTACAGAAAGTTAAACTATTATTTGTAAGTGAGAGTAAAATAAAGATATTTTCAGATGGATTTAGAGAATATAGCATTCACAGACTCCTATTCAAGAAATACTAAAAGGAACTCATTTAAAAGAAAACGAATTCAGAAGAATAAAAAGTGAATTGCAAGAGGCATTGATGATTTAAAAAATTCATAAATATAAATAAATCTGAACTGGCTTATTAAGAAAAATAAAGAAATAATACCTAAATTTGGGCCGGGCGCGGTGTCTCAAGCCTGTAATCCTAGCACTCTGGGAGGCTGAGGCGGGCGGATTGCTCGAGGTCAGGAGTTCGAAACCAGCCTGAGCAAGAGCGAGACCCCGTCTCTACTATAAATAGAAAGAAATTAATTGGCCAACCAATATATATATATAAAAAAATTAGCCGGGCGTGGTGGCACATGCCTGTAGTCCCAGCTACTCGGGAGGCTGAGGCAGAAGGATTGCTTGAGCCCAGGAGACTGAGGTTGCTGTGAGCTAGGCTGACGCCACGGCACTCACTCTAGCCTATGCAACAAAGCGAGACTCTGTCTCAAAAAAAAAAAAAAAAAAAATACCTAAATTTGGAAAGTTTACAAACAGAGATTCAAAATCCTAGTCAAAATAGCATGGAAAAAGGGAGAAGGGAAAGCAATATCTCAAGGTTCTGTTCCTCCAGGAGAAAGAAGGAACCTTGATAAAGTTAAGAGGCTGGCTAATGTATAAGAGTATTGTAGAACCAAGTTTTCTGGGACCTGAAGCTCACATAATTTTTGGCACTTGTATTGTTTTCTCTTTAAGGAACAAATACAAAACCATTTTAAATTTTTCAAATTTTACAAAAATAGGTGCAACACATTGCTAGGCCTTGAAAGAGGACCATGCACATAAGAATCCAGGAAGTTTAATCCTTCCTTAGCTTCGTAGTAAATCTACTTGGTGTGTAACTTTTACAAAAATCAAAATAAAATGTTTAAATTACTTTCAATCCAAGAAGGATGAAAGGAGATAAAAATTAAGAAATGCTGCCAAA